GAAGGTATCACGATCACGGGATTCGAAAACAATACCGATAGGGTTCACCGTGTAGCCGCAAGGATGGGGCTGGGGACAGTCAGAGCAGGGCACGATTTTGAAATTATAAACGTCATCGATTACCTTGAGGGGTGCTCCAGGACAAGGAGGGATATTCAAAAACACGCAGCATACGTTGCCCGACGGGATGGACCATCGGTCAGAATGGTTCATGTGAGTGTTTTCGAATATCTCACTTTGAGTCAAAGAGCGTCGTCGACGGAGAATTCCGAATGCTAGCGCCAATGTTCTCCGCCGAGGAGGAGCGATTTCGGAATCCAGTCCGGGAACACTGAGCTAGGATCCGAATGATCCAGGAGAACATGACGACTCTCGAAGACAACGAGTTCTCCCTACCTCCCGAGAATACGTATATCCCAGTTTGGAGTTCGAAGTCTTCGACCGACATGCGCCCCGGGCCCCGGGCGCTCCTCGGAGCGAATCATCGGGGTCCGGAAGAGCCTCGAGGAAAATTCGGAAGCGCCAGATCGCACCGGGTCGGCAACTGCATGCAATCACTAGTCTTCGATTGGGTGGACTCCGAAGTCTAATTTACTTTCCGCATCGCTGGACATGAACTTAGTGCCAGAGTTTCGGGGAGGAACAATCGTTCCAACCTAACTCGGGAATGGCGCCAAAAGACGGCGTAGCGGCGACGACGACGACGAGCTAGCCGGCGGCCGGGGAAGCCCATTCCAGACTCTATGGAGCTCCGGAGTAGAGGAGGGGGAACATAAGGGCGTAGCTTGTCGAAGTTGTCGAACGAGAAGCGTCGCCGTGGCTGCTGCCGTCCTCAGCAGACCTCGACGGAAATTCGTCGTCTCAGCACGGCTCCGTGCTCGTCCAGTTTTTCCCAACGAGAGCCGAACTTGGCCTTCGAGGAGAACTTGGCTCTTTCGGGGCTTGCCGCCGCCGCTGCTGCGGTCGTCTGGCAGGTGCTTGATGAAAAGTCAAAAGGCTGTCGTCTGAGGAGGCTTTACGCCAAGAAGCTCCTACTCTCCTGCTTGCATACCCACTCAAAGCGAGCCAGCGAGCGAGCGAGGGGCGAATGAGCCAACGTTGACGACGTCGAAAACGACTCTCAACGTCCAAGCAGCGGAGACCACGACCCAACAATATGAGGACAATTGCACGACCAGCAGAACAGGAACGAAAGGACAAAAAGGAAGCAAACTGCAAAGTCAGCCCTCGTCCAACCGAGCGAGTAGGCGAGTGGCGCTGCCTCCCACCGGCCCGCTCGTTCACGCACGCACTCAGCCCGTCAGTGAGTCGACTAATAGGCCGCACTGGAGGACATCGAGGTTTCACTCTCGACGGAGATCTCAATTACCTACCCACGATTAATTCTGCATCCTATCACCATGTGGACTTTTCTAGGACCCCACGAGGCCCCGGATCCTTAGGCGATCTCGGCGTGGACAGGCTATCCAAATGCGCCCATTTCAGCCGCCGAGGAGTGTCTCATACGGAAGAGACACTCGATGAAGTCGAGACCACAAGATTTTTTCCCGGACAAAATTTCAAGAACAGAGGACACCGTTCCACCATTGGCCCTTCGACGAGCGCACGTGACAGTCGGGGCACGTCTGCTAGACGTACACTCGTACACGTCGCTCCTTGCCACCACATAGAGTTAATATTGTCCGATCAGCACTCGCAATCGGCCGTTTTCTGGTATGAGCTCCGCATCCACATACCCCAAGCACGGGGCTTCGTTGGAGCTACGGTTCCTGCGGAAAACCTTGCGGAAAACCTTGCGGAGAACTTCGCAGAACCTTCACGGGAAACCTTGTGGAACTTAGACGGACGCCTGACGGGATCCCACGGAAACGCCGACGGCTGCCCCGCTGGAGCATCTGGGGGTTAGACCGAGTTCTCATCAGAACTGCGAGATACTCAGTCAATCTCGCAGACTCGCGGCAACAGGCTGAGGAAAACGGCTCGGAAGCTCACCAGGAGCCGATTGATGCAGGAACCGGAAATCGAGCGGAGAAAAGCGACCCCGCCGGCAGTGAAGAACACGAGAGTGACCACGTACACGATGAGCTTGCAGGGAGATGGATTCCGCACAAAGTTCGATGCGCGTTTGCCCGATACGCTGAGAGCGTCGCTCGGCGGTGACATGGATAATAATCGGCTTGCTGCGGGCGTTTGCCTTGATTGGAGTTCGCTTCGATCATTAGATACGCCTTCGAGAGTTCGTCTGCTCCCTCTCGACTACGGAGAGGCTCACTCGGTGCAGATGTTGCCACCGCTGATGTTCGACGGCACAGACCGACCACGTCCCGGAGGTTCTCTCGTCCATTCAAGTTATTTATAGCATCCAGAAGATGGGAAGAAAGCTCTCCCGCTGTTTGTCTCTGGCGCAATTAGTTTACCCCTTGCTAGATTGTTACCGTACTCGCGAGCTCTTGTACTGGTCCTCGGACTTCGATGTCTCCCGATGTCCCGGAACGAGCAAAAACGAGCTCGCTTCGTGGACAGAGGCTCCGACAGACCGAACGGCTCTTGTTCGCCATCCTTCTATTAAAGCACCGGTGGTGGCGGCTGGAAGGCCGAAAAGGGACCGACTGGCCTAAAGAGGTGCAGAGTACAGCGTAACGTCAACAGCAGAGCTTAATGGCCATGTCTCTCATCTCGGCTCAGTCAGAAGAGAGTTCTGAGATATCGGATTAACAAGCAAGAGAACTCCAGGCATCGAACAGGAGCACCCTGAAGCTCCTGGCTGCCCTGTCTGCACAACAAGACGGGGACGGTCTGGAGCTGAACGCACTCGTTGACGACTGAAGCCTTTCAAGAAGCGGGCGGTATCTTCCGGACAGATCCAAACTCGAGCCAGGCGTGAGAGAAGCAGAGGCACGGGGTCGATGGATATACAAAAGTACGGACGGCCCTTCGCCTGAAGACCAAGGACATGGATACGATTCAAAACTGACTGCTCCTGCAGGCGATTTCGCACATTGTTAGCACTTTCGTTGTTTGGGTCGAGCTTCCGGGAAAGCCCGTCTCACAGCCCCAAGTCCACCGTTCGCGGTTCCATCTTTTCTCGAGGATCTTCACGCCAACGTCGCGTCAGCGTCGTTTTCGTCCGCCTAACGGTCGAACGCAACATTCAGCCCCGCGAACTTCGAATTCGGTTGCGGAGACCCTCTCCGAAATCTTCCCTCACCGAAATCCGCTCATCAACGAATACGTAATATCAGGCCCAGGAGAGACTGGCCGGGAACGCATCGAGACTCCCCTTGTACATTTCACCTGCGTGGGGGATTCGAACGAGAAACTCTCGACTAAGACGGCAGCAGAATCGGGCCGGGACGAGAGAGCGTGCGCGCTCCGATTCCCTTCCGCTTTGTCCGTCGGCACGAATGGCCCTGCATGCCCATAGGCCCCCGGAACAACGAACACGACGGCCAAGAAGGACAAAAAGTCATCGGAAATCTGAGTCAGATCCAATTTGGATCCGCTTCCGGACCTCGAACGAGACGGCCAGGTGGAGCTATCGATGGAATAATGAAACCAGCCGCCCTTGAGGAGGATGGGGACCCTGGTTGCTCTAAAGACGCCGATGACCTCTTCTGCAGATTCCGATGACGCTCGCATGTCTCGCAATATCATATTCTTCTTCAGAAAGGGAATTCTGCTCGGCAACCATTTCGTCCTCTGGAATCGTGACGTATGGAAACGTCTCGCCTCCGGAAACGAAAGTCTCCAGTAGCCCGAAGACCCTCAGTCAGAGTCTCTCCTTCCTCTTATGCCTCCTCGTGCCGTCAGTCCGCAAATCGTGGCGGTCGCGGCCCACGCAGAGCTCGGCGTCCTGAATGACTGCCGGGCGTTCGCTTGTGTGGTCGGTCGGTCGGTCGGCCCGACCGGCCCGCCGGCCGGCTGATTAAGGAGGCGGGTAGGTGCAAACGGAGGCCATTGTAATTAAATTGGAGCTCGAAGGATCACTCCGGAGGAGCTGTCTATCAATGAACTCCAGCCAGCCTGGTTGGAGGAAGGAGACCGGGGCTCGGAGGAATTCACCTTCCCCAGGAGCTCAGCGGAATGTGACGGCGAATCTGAATTCCGACAGTCAGTCTTACGAGCGTTTGCGCTGCGGCTGACTTGGCTGACTTCGAATCCCAAAGCCGGGAAGAACTGCACATTAATGCGCTCAATTGAGTCGTCCTCCAGCGCGATGTCGGGGCGCTCGGGGGAGACGGGAGGAGCCGAGACTATGCCTCGCGTAAGAAAACAGTGTCCCCTGAAGACGAACGACTCTTTCTCCTTCTGGAGGCAGCACGCGATGAGTAAGTTATTTAATTTGACTGCCAAAATCGTCCTAAGAGTCGGGGCGGCAAGTCCAGGAGCCTCTGACATCCGTGCTCGTCGTGAGCGCGCAGCCTCGGAGGTCTGTCCGTTGGGAACGGGAGGCGCACGCCATTACCAGGCATGACAGGAAAACTGCTGTTTGATCATTGCACACGTTTCTCCGATGTAGGTACCCTTGGGCTTCAGCCACGCTCGCTGGCTTGATCATTCGTTGTGTTCGAATATTGGATGACTTTCGAAACTAACTCGAGGAGCAAACGAGGCAAGATGCACCAACACGTCGAAAATTCGCTTCGCACGCGTGCAGATTGCGAGCAATTTCCGTGCGCTTTTCCCCTTGCTTAGCTCGTGCAAACATGCGTTGAGGACAACCGACGCCTCATTAGGGCGGCATACATGCTCGTGCGTAATGTGCGAAATGAGCTTCCCCATCAATGACCATTTCTAATTATTGACGTCTTTAAGGCTTTCCGAACGATCATCGAGGAGAGAAAAGAGATCGAGAAGACGATCTAATAGTGTACATCGAACAAAGCGACGAAACAGCTGACCGGGAGTTGGTCGCCGTTTGCGCCGCGCACAGGAGACTGTGGAACGATAGTTGAGACGAAGTGAATTGAGCAGGGAACCAAACGTGCATTCCAACATACCTTGTTTCCTCCTGACAGACAGTTTCAAGGACGCAAGCGGCATATGTGAGGGTCTTTTGGAGAACTGCAAGAGGGACGTCGCCATGTTGGAGATGCGACGCGACCTCTCGAAGCCTGAAAATCCAATTTGTACATATTAGGCTGTGATCATAATCATAATGGTACATACCTGCTAAAGCATGCGTATGTTCTCGGATTCCTACGGAATAATTTGAGCTTGACGCAATCGTCCCCAGCTCCTTCAAGGGACAAGACCTCGTAGAGTCCGTTCCCTTTAATTGGTACGGTAATCAAATAACGTCGGCCATCTGTGGTAAATTATTTATTCCACGGACAGCAGGGAAACTTTGTTTGCGAGATCCGACGTCCCCGCGTAGGTACATGAGCCTGCAGTTATTCCTGGGACGGAGTGGTGCGCAGGGGGACTTACGAGCAGCGATAGCAACCCGCGCAGGACACAGCAGACTGAGCTGATGATATACTGAAGCGAATGCCGACACTAATACCCAGCTAAGTGAGTCGAATGCAAAATTCCTGGCGGATTTCGCATAATCCGACGGTCAAAATCCCATGCAAGAAATTGTGGAGCTCCGACTTCGTCCGAGAGCTCGAAGAGAAAGAAATTTGTTTTTGTTCACTTTCAGTCGGAGTGAACTTCAGGCAACCCGAGAAGCGTACGTCTCGACGTTTCATTTTCCGCGATGGCGGTTCCCGTACCGGGCGGGGGGAAGGGGGGGGGCAACGTTGTTTTCCTCCTCTCAGACTGCGGTCTCCGTTTCCTGTTTTCTGGATATACGGTACGTTTCTTCGCTTGTTTGTTTGGCCATGATTCCTTCGAGAGCGCGGAATCGCTTATCGACGAGAATATTTCTCTGCTGAATTCTCGATCGCAGGATTTCGGTACGAAGCCTCATCCGGAGCATTAGGATAGAGAGCTTCTCCCACGACTGCTTACTCGCTTGCGGGGGAGTCCCATCATTTTCCGGACCTCCCCTCTTTATCCGTGGGCTCATTCCTGCACGTTTAATACGCATTAAAAGGTCTCGCTAAATGACAATTAGGTAGGTGTGTGGTTCGGTTATGAGGAGGAACACAAGCGCGGTTTGACAGTGTCCAGACACGGTATAGCCTAAGCACCGAATATTTTTCTCAGTCACTGCCGCAAGTTTGCCGACCACGCAGAGCGAGAGGGACGGCAACGAGCGACTGGAATATGGTGGGATCTAGACTGGTAGGACCACTCGAGAGTTTTCCGCGTCGTCTATAAATCATGGCGCTCGAGCTTCTCCCCGAGAGCGATAGGAGTTTGACGTGGCAGCCACGCGAGCGAAGATCGACGTGCCAGGAGACCAAAAGTAAGTTAATTCCAAAAAGCTGAACGCTCCCACATTCGTCCGCGGAAAGCTTCATTCCAGCCTGTTCCAAAAAAGCGATCTCGAGCACCGTTTTTCCCCAATATCCTTCAACGGATCTGCGTGGAACTCCGCCGGTGAGCCTATTCGCCTGTTTGCCTCTGCCGCATACATGTGTGAGTGTGTAGGCACGAGCAGAGCCCGCGTGGGAGTTCGCTCACTTCCTAAAACCCAGTCCGACTCAATATTCGCCTTCAGTCAAGTTCTTCCGCGCAACCGGCGACGGACAGGCGAGCGGACGGGGGTTCTTGTGAGCGAGACTGACTCGAGGGGAAGTTTAGATGGATTTATGAATTTCAGAAACGGGTCCGTGCCTCTCTTCGGTCTAGATGGACTGACTTCCCGCAAGCCATATGTAGAGCGAGCCCCTGCAGAGGAAGTGCATCCATACTCTGAGGTACCTGCTCGGAAAACTGCGCGTCCGATTCGGTCTATCGGCTCGCTGGCTCCTCGCATGTGGCGAACGAGACAGAGCGGGATCCTGAGCTCCGCGTTGCCTCCTCGAACGCCGATGGCCGCGAGAGCATCAATCAAGAATCACTCCCTTCGAATTCTCGGAAATTCGAGAGAGACTGGCTTGCAGCAGAACCGACGGGTGGTCGAGTGGTTAGCGCGTTTGTCACTTCTCGTGCAAACGTGCATAGCCGCAACGACGCCGCTCGCGCGGGAGGCGGTGTGGGTTCGATCCCTGCTGCCGGAAAAATATGCAGGTACTCGGCCTTGATCCTCCTGGGTACATTTGCTCTATGGATCCGTCCTCGGAAGCAATGTGAATAACAGTACCCGGGACGTTAAACCTTGGCTGTGTGGATCAGCCCGAAAAAGTTTTGGCTTGCAGCAGAGCGATTCCCGCGCGGTCTGGAGCCTCGTAAGCAATCACGGAGACACGTCTCGCCGACAAGATCTACGCGTCCAACGTCTGGCTCGAGAATTGCAGAGGAAAAAATCGCAGACATTGGAAATCAATACGTCAGCAAAGCGGGACGAATTAGCCTACAGTCGATCACTGGGTCGTCGACTGTCCTGGCTGTTCGGTGATAGACCCGGAACGCTCAAGGTCCGCACCTAAATCGGGGAATGGTCTCGCTATGGCGCTTATCCCCTCCCAGATATTTGTTGCTTGTTCTTCGTATTCATTGCTCGCGAGTTCGCATATCCCTAGACTGGATGAGCGCCTACGACGCCGACGCTCCGGCTCCCCGCGGTGGCAGGGAGTTCCCGAATAAAATTATTATGATTCATAGATGAGATATCGGACTCCTCTTCGTGGATGGCCCGACGACGTCGTGGAAGCAATTTTCCCGGAAGCGCTAACCTTCTCCAACACTTCGCTCGGTCGGCGGTCCCGTGCGAGGGAACGAATCCGACTGCACTCCGATTCCGAAAGCAATGGAATGAAAAGAATACCGAGACCAAGCACATAGGGCTCCATGACTTTTCCCTCCTACGAGTGGATGGGAATAATGGATGCCAGACCGGGGAGTTCCCACGAGAGCATAATCGTCCAAGTACGAGAAGCCGCAGAATTCGGCTCGACGTTGCGGTCGGACAATTCCGTGACCGCAGAGACCGCTTCCTGTCCGCCTTCCTGTCGTCTCCGTACCGACTGATTCCCAGCGTAATAGTTCCCAAAGCATCAACAGACAGTCTCGGATCTGTTTTTTTCGAGGATGAGCGCTTATGAATCGCTCCTGGCGGATGCTATGCAAGCGGTGGCTAGTTTTATTTTTGCAACATCAATAAGTTGCTCGTGTGCCGCCCGCTCATATGGCATTGGCTCATGAGCCTTCAAGCCCAGACGGGACCCGTGACCCCCACACTCAGCCCATCTGCAGCAATATCCTCGGTGGGAGGATATTGGCTTCTGTCAACACTGCTGCGGTGGCGTTCATCGCAGCGCGGGGGGTCCAGTTAGCGATTGACGTTGTTCCTGCTCTTCTTCCTTCTGCCGCCGCCGCCGCGCCGCCGCCGCCAGAGTTCCCTCTTCCCCACAATACAATGTCCGGGACATCATTAGGGAAGCGCCGATTCCTGACACCACCAAAAGCGGTGTTGGGAAGCTTCACTATCAGTCAACCGGTCGCTAGGAACCCGAGTCTGTCGTTCGGAGCCGAAGTTATTTATATTCGGTCGTCGTCGAGAGGGTTCGATTTCAGCTAAGGACACGGTCTCGCGGCTGAGGTGCTTCCGGGTTTGAAAAACTCTGAGATTGAGGATTAGATAGAGGAAGCGAGAAGAAGCATCGAGCCCCAGCGCGTCGATAGTGCGTGGGTCTGGCTGCTCATTTAATTTCGCTATTTTTAGGAGTGGATCGAAGCTCCGGGTTGAGGTTTATTTTCGGCCGCTTTCGAAAACTGTTGCAGCCATCTAGGCAGTACTATTGCTAAACACCGGAACTCTACCGAGAGCTATCGTGGGAGGCGCCGCCGCTCCCGTCGCTCCCTCGATCACCAGCAGTGAGCATCTGACGATTTATATCATCAGGTTTCTACGCATTTCGATAACGACGCGAATCATAATCAATCAAGGGAGGGACGAACGATGATCTCAGGCAAGGCCTCGACGCTCGGACACGAACCATGATTGGAAAGGGGGTGTCAACACAAGTTTGCATAATCGAGAAGCTTCAAATTAAGGATCGGACCTGAGTCGTTCAGCTTCAGAGCACACCTGCGACCACGATTGGAATCGAGAGCGGCCGGGATCCTCGGAGAGGATGATAAGGAAATGAAAAAGAGGATTTGTGGCTTTTTTCCCGATCTCTCGCCGCCGCGTTCGCTCGTCCACCACTTCCTCGATTCCCTCGGCCTTTGAAGGAGCGGTAATCATTCCAGAGAGAACGAAGCGGGATATATTGGGCTCCGCTCCCGAGATCCTTCCGCAAAGTTTGAACACCTGATCTCCTGCGCGAACCGGGAGGAAACCGGAGGAATATGGAAGCGGAATGGACTCTCTCATTCCATCGCCGTTGTCGAATCAACATCAAGATAACTCATACGGCTAATGCAAAGTCGGCTCGCTCATCGCGTGGCTCCTGCATGGACTTTCATCAAGCCCCCGATCACTACGGGAGCGAGAGCAGAATTAGGAGCAGATCAGCCGCCGGAGGAAGCCTCGGAGGGGCTCGAGGAGAAGATACGAGAAGTGTTTTGTAGTCGCGGTGTGGCCGAGAGAAATGAGCAAGAGGCTCACAGCGCACGGGCTCGGGTACGGAGCTTATGATAACCTTCGCTTACTTCCAGTTCATCCTCTTTCACTGCTGCTCCTGCTGCTTCCTCTCGAGAGCTCCCTCCCCCTATCTGGCCAGCAGCGCTTAAAACGACCTCATCATCTGGGGTACATCCTCTCCCTACGTCGTTAGTTACCTTACCCTCGGGTGTATTTATGCCGTTCCTCTTTTGTTTCCCCTTTTCCTCTTCCCGATCCGTCATTTATGATTTCCCACCGGCGTTTCGGTAGATTTTTCCCCCATTTTGCATCGCCCCGCCGGCCGCACTAATTGTACGGCGCGTTCGAGCGCGCGCTTTGAAAGCCGTCGCGAACATCGAGTGCCGCTGGGTCAGTTGCAAGCATTGTTGAAACACTCGAGTTGATTCTAGTCGAAACCTTCAGTCCCGAGCCCTGGCTTTTCGCTGCCTCTCGGGGATAGGTTTTCAAGATCCCGATAGCTCTCTCGAGTCGTGTACGAGCCGCTTGTCGTCGGAAACATTGTATCACGACAGAAATCAGGAAATTCCGAGAGTCAATGCTCGGAGCAGCCCGCTCTTAATGAATGAGATCGCGAAACAGGCAAAGAAATGCACATCGATCGGGACCCGAGATCATCGTCGAGCGTCCGATCGACGGGAGTCAATAACGCTAGGGAATTTTCGGCGCTCGCTCCGAGTGCTTGCATTCTAGAGTCCGCTATGAACCAGAAACGATGCTGGAGAAGATTCCGACTTGTACCGGAGCAACAGCGAACGTCCACTGCGTGCAATGATGAGCGTTGACTTGGACGTGGAGCACACAGACGTAGCTTACAATTTTGAAAATGTAAAAACCGAACTCTCACCTCCGAGCAGCTCTCTCGCAAGCCTCGAGGGTGTCCACGGGCGGTGGAGCGGTTACCCGTCCAGCGGCTCCACTGGCGTTGCCCCCGACCCCCGTCGAGGTCGGGGGACCTTCGACTGCCTCTGGAGTCCCCGTCGTGGTGGTGTGACTCCGAGTGAGAACTCGTGGCTGAACGCGGCGGACGAGAACACCTCCCGACTGAGCGTCTGCAAGGGAAAATTTCAGTGTGATGATCCGTTCCAGAATAAACGCCGATTTCGAAAACCCTGAATTTATTCCCACGGCGGGCGTGGAAATCGAGCGCCTCGCTTCGGAAGCTCGGAACGAAAACCGAACAGATCGGCAGAGACTGAAGCACTCCTCCCATCAACCGGCGGCTTAGTATCGAGCTGGCTTCGGAGGCAAGATCAGACGGCCGGCTACCGAGCGGCGGCAACGAGAGTGCGGGTTCTAACAAGAGGTCTAAATGACAATAGACACCAACCGCAGATAGACGGCCCAAGAAACGGGTGGCCAGGCTCGCTGGTTGGCGGGCGATCGAACAAACATGCATGCAAGGATGGGAACAGCGACGCGAAGGGTTGTTTCGAATGTGCGAGGCAGCCCCGTACGGAAGTCAACAGATGCGTTGCGAGAACAGAAAAAAAAGTTCCCTGAGCTCGAGTCGTAGGCCACCCTTGCCCGCTCGATTCGATGACGATCATCCGCGCAGAAGCTACCGCACGGAGATGCCTCAAGCTGTCCGACAGATCTGTGGGCTGAATGTCTGTCGTATCGGATACGTCGACCGAACTGGAGCAGGGCAGACGATTGGAGGCCACTTCAGGCGGCAGCCAATAAACACACAGTCATGCGGAACTGTCATGTGTGTGGTTATGGGCTAGGAACAAGACGATGAGCCAACTGGAATTCCTCACGGAATGCTTAATGGATGGGAATCTATCTCTGAACACCAACGCCGGAATTATGACTGAGCCACGGATTTCTGTTCGTTTTGCGCGACAGAACTTACCACGTCACGTTGCCTCCGGCTTCGAGAGAAGAGCACGACGAAGTACCTAATAGCGAATTGATACCATTACGACATCGAGTGTCAATCAGTTGCGGATAACGGATTTGTTACCGCAACTTCCCACTTGGGCTGCGATATAACGGTGGGAAACTGATTGCTTCGCAGGAGTCTGTTAGATTGAAACGATCAATAATGAGCTGAAAGACAGAGCATTTGTTCCCTCTCGGGCGGCTTTCGTGGCCGCCAACTCGATCACGCTGCAGAGATTCCCATTCATATGTTTAGGAGATATTTCAGCTCGCAAGCGCAAACCGAAACGGACTCCGCGCACATTCAACTCGGGACGAACGCGGCAAAAAATATAATGGACGAGCAGGAGCTCACGTTGTTTCCGGGAGAGATATTTCTGGAATTCTCACGGATTACGGGCGCCATAATCCAACAATGATGCGCGATGATTACGGGAGTCTCGCCAGAGATAGGGTTGAGCTCATGGAGGAAACATCATCCCTTCGCCTATACGCTCCCGTGGAATTTCGCCGTACGCACTGACTTTCGTCTAACCACCCTCAAGGAGATGAATTATGGTAATATCGAACGAGCCCTATTAAAGGATATTATCGAGGAGGAGTCACTGGAGCGGACCGAGTTCATTATCGGCTACTTCTCCGAGGTGCGAAAGAAGGAATATGTCCCCTCCATCTTTCGTCATAATGATTGGCCTCACGCGTTTATCTGACTATCTGTTTCGAGGTGGTTCACCCCTCTCTCAGCTTCCCCTTCCCCAAGGGGCGTTTTCTCCCCTCCCCGCCAGTCGAATGTCTTCGTAAGAGGCTTGGAAACGAATCATTCCGTAATTCCTTATAATCTCACGTAAGCATCTCTGCTACGAGTCCACCAAGGATCACTGCTCGGATATGCGCAGGATTTGGGCTACACTTCAATGATCATGTTCATCATTGGCTTTGAGCAATCGGATGAACAATTTTTATCGACCTGATTTGCCGGAGTCGCGAGTCGCCACGGCTGGAACGCGAAGGAAAACGACGACTGAGTGAGCTGAGACGCAGCGTCCGCATTTGTATGAGGCCGCAAGCAGCCGCTGGGGTTTTGACCAACGCGACGGAATGATTTAACTCGGATTCGGTTTGCGCTGCTGGGAAGGAAGTCGAGATCAGCGATCGGAAACTTTTTTCCATCGATTTTCGAAGTCATCGACCCGAGAGCAGCAGCCAGCCCCGCACGGGCGACTCCACGCGAGATCCGCCGAACTATTCCAGAACACGTGGCGTGCCTCCTCACGGAAACTATAGCGATGCGTACATAGGTTGTAGACAAACCGCGGAGTCGGGCCAAGACACGGACGGTCAGCGACGGGGCTAATCAATATCTTCGACCTGTATTCCATGGCTTAGATCGGTCGGCAGACCCTCCGTCTTGAGAGCGCACGCAGCGACGAGCCCAAGACTCCGTGGAATATCCGTATATAACCCTTGGCAATCGAAGTCGTCGTGGCGCGGCGATGAATTTGCATCTGAGCGTGACATCGCATACTTCGTGACGACTGGGAGGAGTGTATGGACACGTGGAAAGGTTGTTCGAAGCTTTATAGCCCTTGTTCCCGGTCTAATCAGAAACCCGCAAACATCGTCAGGATGAAACATCGTTCCACGTCACCCGGCCATCTCCCGAAATTGGTCGTACCGTCGTGCAGCGACAAACTCTATAGAATTCGATCGCTTCGAGCTGACGACCGGCCTCGTGAGACTTGCATCGCTTCTGCTCAACCCTTCTCTGAGGCCTCTGAGAAGAACATGAAACCGGAAAATCTGTCACCTTCAGAGATCCACCCGCGGAGTGAATCTCCGTCCTGAGCTCTTCTCCCTTCCGATCGTCGAGTCGCGCGCTGATCTGTAACGTCGAGACGCGCAGAAGGCGGGTTGGAATTCCGACGCAAGATGCTGCGAAAACTCCGATCAAAAGTTTTCAGCAACCTACCGGAAAGCGAACGCTCATTGAGGAACTTGGCTTGGTCTAGTTTGCGCATTTTCACGCAAATCACGCAACGTTCCCACCGACGGCAGGCTGAGCTTTTCGAGTTCATTTAGCGCACTTGTATCCAGAGATTTCCCTTCAACCACTAAACGGCACTCCAGTTCATTTGAAGAAGTATTCCGTAGTGCTCGAGCAGGATACGCTCGTGTCTCGAGGAGGATTACCACATTCCGAAGAGCTGCATGCGACTCGGTTGCCTTACGCCGGCAAACTGCTCGGATAGCGGTTCGAAGCCAGCCGATCAGAGCCGCCTTTCAGGTGGGCCAGCAGCGAAAGATCGATCCTCGACCGATTCTTGTTGATGTGTTTCCCTAATGACCGCTTCGTCTTTGTCGCAAGAGATCATCAGCGTGTACCTAATGATTATGGGTCATCGGAGCGTATGGCATGGATTGTCCGCGACAATCCATGCCTCGCAAGGAGTCTCTCGAACGCGGACGTAACAGTAGCTGACACGATACAGCGCTTGGCCCAATCTGACATTTGTTTACAGGCATGCCGAATGAAATATCGACCGGCGGAGCATAATGATCGAAGGCAGCTCGATTGATTTCGGAGAACTCTAAAACCCACCTGGAAACGGTGCCCGGTCCAGACTTCTCAGAGCGAACTCTTGAGAAATGCACTACTTGAAACTAAAGTGTTCAACGCATTCCCTAGGCGTATGCCTGTTTCGATCAGAATTCATAACTCGTAGCGCGCCACGTTTCGCAGTGGGCTCGGTAACGCCCCAAATTAGATTTGTTGCTCCATCGACCGACGTCGGTCAATTCAAAGGATTCAGCGTGATTTCAGTACCGGTTCTCTCGATGGAACAGTGCGCCCTCACCGGGAAAGCTATTTGGATTCCGGGGGAAAGAAGTTGAGACCTGACTGAGAGTACGTATCGGCACGAGTTCACAATACCCTCGGAAGCGGCGTCATGCGACGTGATGCCCGTGATCTTTTCCTCAAGAGTGCCGTGCAATAGACGGGAAAAAAAGTTCCATCTGAATCGTCTTCATCCAGGACAAAATATTGTGGATTGCGGACGATTTCCAGCCCTGACAAACATCCTGACGAATGGGACGCCAGGATGCTTCCATCTCTTCTACGTTGTTAGAAGGATTGAGATCGATCCAGCGGAGCCAACCTCCTTTGTGTCGCGGGAAACTAAAGGGTTTAACCAGCAGCAGCCACAGCAGCCACCGGGATAACGGCGACGGTGGCTGGAGTAATCCATCGATCCCAAGAGCCGCTATGCTCCATCTTCGTCAACTTTGACCAGTGTGAATTAATCGTTCGAAGCTAAATTACTCTGCTGCCTAGTCATGCCGATAATCTAATCGCGTCGCTGATTCCACGCGCACGGCTTAAGAGTGTTGGCTCTTATGCACGCACTTTACGAGCGCACAGAGTGCTTAGTTTCTCTCACTTATTGAGGGGGGAATCGTGGCCGCGAACTCTTGCAAGGCAAATCCCATACTGACGGAAACATCTCGGAAGTTTCCTCCAATTATCGCGAATCCGGAGGAGAGGGGGGGGGCGTGCAGGACTGGAGGGGCTGGAGAGACAGTGAAGAGAAGATTTCACTGACTAGTGAGTCAGGAAGACACTGCGAAGAACATCTTGCTCGAGCAAGGACGATGCCGGGCATATCCGAACGGTGAGTGACCTCTCCTCGAAAATTCACTTCCGTCCCCAGAGTCAGAGGCGAAACTACAATTATGAGCACCGCTAGCTTTTCGAGAGCGAAGTTTAATGACTTGCAATCAGAATAATTGCCTCTGGCCCGCCTCGCGTTTGCCCCCGCTCAAATGAGGCATGTTTTTCCATGCGTCACGGGATAATTCGTCGTCGACGTCGTCGCTACTCCCGCCCGCGAACATCTGCTACGAGCTGCCGCGAGGAAGAGCACGGACAACAAGAAGCATGCCCACGACGACTGGGCCTTGTGATCATTCTCTCTTAAGCTGGGGATTGTGCGCATTGAGCAACGGAAGCAGCGACCTCGTTGGCAGTGTTTGCCCCCTTTCGCCGCCTCTGTTTCGGCTGACTGGACGGTGAAGAGCTCGTGAGCGAGCGATCGACCGGCCGACGGCCGCCGCCTCCGTCGTCGTCCTCGAGGATTCTTGAGACGTCGCAACAGGCTGTCGCCAC